GCGCGAGTTGGGGAGGAGGTGCGGCGCGCAGCGTGTGTGGAGCCGTGAACAGGGCCAACTGATCGGAAGCCGATTAATCGATTATTGAAAAAGTTGACAACTTTTTCAATAATCGATTATAATCGATTATGTCGATTAGTTGTTGCAGCCCTAATATGTGGTGCTAAAGAACACCACCGGGCTGCCACATATATGCGTGCATATAACGACAAGCTGCCACGCGTGTAGATGGTGGGAAGGGGTTACTGGCAAGCTGCCACATGTATGTGTAGATGGCGGGAAGGGGTTAACGGCAAGCTGCCACATGTATGTGTAGATGGCAGAAAGGGGTTAACGGCGAGCTGCCACATGTATGTGTAGCTGGCAGGAAGGGGTTAACGGCGAGCTGCCACATGTATGTGCACAGCCAACAGCTTTGTGTTCTGAGCGCGCTCGCTCGGCAACCCCAGACACAGCGACCATCACCGACAGTTCCCAGTCAGTTTACAATGGGGACCCCGGTCACATGATCACCATGACAGCCGATCACATGATCAGGAAGCCCACTTTCCAGCATTAAGGATCCCTTAAAGAGCCAGCGGGAGCATATGACAAGGAGGTAAAACTAATATATTAGTGCACCATTTACAATGAATGGACCCCCAACACTGTGTTACTGCGATGCATGCGATGTGAATGGGCCCTGAGGGGGGATATACAGGATCACCTTAACCTGTCTATTCCCCGTCGCTTATCAGATTCCTGTAAGCCTAAATGGTGACAGGTTCTCTTTATGTATTTATATAATCCTGCCTAAATGATGGACAGCCGAAGATCCCCCATCCTCCTCAGCACTACATCTGCCATGTTATATATATCTTCAGGTGCACTACAAGTCCCAGCAGACCGCCTCTCACCAGAAGACGTCCTCTTGTCCCCCTTACGAGGAGTCTTGAAAGCCTCGACCGCCGCGGCCCCGCCACTGCTGTGCACCGACATCGCTCCGGTATAGAAGTCACTTGTCTGGACACTTCTCCGATTCTCCCGCGTCTTCTTCAAAATCATCTCCCGCCTACCTGACGCACGGGTGGAGTAGGCGGTCCGACGCATGAGCGTGCGCGCCCACGCTGGCGCTTCTCTCGTCTCCTACGACTTGACGTCACACCGGAAGCAAGAACCCTAACACTGTCACAGCTCCGCGTTCCCCGGTGGCGGAGCTGTGCTCACTATTGCGGGGTATCATGGCGGGAGGAGACGGGTCGCTGTCCGGGAAAACGCTGGAGGAGAAGCTTCTATTCTCGCCACCAGACAAAAGCTCCCGCCGGTGTGTTCAAACTTCCCGACATCTCCCGCGGGCGCGGCCCAGCAAGCCACGGTTACCATGGTAACGTGAACTTTGAGAGACGAGCGCCCTGAGGGGGGCGCGGACTCTGTGAGGGGAGACGGGAGCGCGCTCTGTGATTGACACCTATTTTTATTATAAATGGTGATAAAACCCGTATATGTGAATAATGTTCCTTCTTTTCAGACCAAACAACCAGCAATGAACCAAACCTGGTGACAAGACTTGTTGAACAACGCCGCTGTAACGCTGTAAACTGTCCATTTACCTCAATACGCGTGGGTTTAACGTGCGTCGGTGCGCACCGCATGGGTTATTGGCGTATGTGTGTCAATGTGCTATGCACAATGTGGTACGGCAACACTAAGAGGCCAATGTGACGCGTTGTTGGCCTTTGTGATGTCATGCGTGCGTCGCTGGGCGTTTGTGGTGTGTTGCAGTAGGATGTGCGGCCTACCGTGTCTAAATCCCTCCAAAAGAAGAGCGAGACCCTATTCCTAAATGTTCTCTGCATCACCAATCACTGCGGCGAGATGCAAACACGCATTTTTTATCTGACATTATGTAACGCGCAGATGTGAGCGCTCCCGAAATGCGTTTCCTGGGTCGGTATAGAGATAGTAGGGATGCACCAATACCAAGTTTTCGGTGAGTACTCGTACTTGCCCAAATGCTATAATACTTACCTCCAGTACCGGAACTTCTGGTCAGAGAGATTCCCTCTGACCGGCGGTGCCGTGAGGGAGCAGGGAGTCAGCTTCCCGGCCAATCGGGAAGCTGTGCGGCATGTCATGACCCATCTCCCTGATTGGCTAAGAAGCTGGCTTCACTTGTCACTAGGCAGGCTGGTTTCATGATCAATAAGGAGGACAGACGGCACGTCGTGACCCCGCCTCCCAGCTTTCTGATTGGCTAGTAAGCCAGGTTCACTTGTCACTAGGCAGCCTGGCTTCCTGACCATTACGGAGGCCAGACGGCACGTCATGAACCCGCCTCCCAGCTTCCTGATTGGCTAGGCAGCCAGGTTCACTTGTCACTAGGCAGCCTGGCTTCCTGACCAATAAGGAGGTCAGACGGCATGTCATAAACCCGCCTCCCAGCTTCCTGATTGGCTAGGCAGCCAGGTTCACTTGTCACTAGGCAGCCTGGTTTCCTGGCCAATAAGGAGGCCGGGCGGCACGTCATGGACCCAGCTTCCTGATTGGCTAGGCAGCCAGGTTCACTAGTCGGTAAGCAGTCTGGCTTCCTGACCAATCAGGAAACCAGGCTGCCTCGCAGTGTTGCGAGGGAGTGTGAAGCCGGTGTTCTTTCTGAGAGCCGGCTTCCTGATCAGCTTGGCCCGCGGTACCTCGGGGTATCGGCGAGTACCGGAAAAAATAATATTGGTGCATCCCTAATAGATAAATAGAAAGACCTAAAACAGAGAGAGATCATAGATAATGGATGGGATGTGAGACGTTGTAAAGCAGTGAGTGCCGTGTACACCGGTCTGTACGGATTTGTATCACACACGTTGTGATTGCTGTGCGGACGGAGTGACGGACCGGGCCGGATAAACAGACAGAACGCGCTGAAGTGGCTCATTTGTCCAAATTGTATAATCAAATCTGAGCTCACTTCAGCGGCGTGCGGCCACATTTGCATTCCCCCGATACATCCTGTGCTCCATGGTGAGGGATGTGGTTACACGTTGCTGTTTCCTGGAATTTGTTGTCACTGATTGAAGTAGAACTGAAGCCAAATGATTTTTGTTAGTTTTGGATAGAGTAAGGGGATTATAACCCCTGCCAGTCTTTTTTTTTTTTTGTTATCTCTCCTTGCGCAGGGTGACTGGTCTTGTCTCCGCCCCCTCCTGAGATAAAGACCGCTCACTGCTACTCTCTCTCTCCTTGTGCAGTGTGACTGGTCTTGTCTCCGCCCCCTCCTATAATAAAGACCGCTCACTGCTGCTCTCTCCTTGTGCAGGGTGACTGGTCTTGTCTCCGCCCCCTCCTGCAATAAAGAATGCTCACTACTGTTCTCTCTCATTGTGCAGTGTTGTCCTGACTGATGCAACAGTTTTTTTTTTTAAATAAAGTTAGGTCACTTCCCTGCCCCCAGCCTATGATTGGACAGTGACTGAGCAGCAACAGCAGACTGACGAGGTAATTCCTTTGCTCGTTCCACCTATTAGCACTTTTGTAAGAAGAACACCTGATTAGCCCCAAGTGTTGCCCCCTCCCTCTCCCAGTCTAAATCCTGCTTCTCTCCTTCCATTGCAGCTGGTGCTGAAGTCAGCGATGACCTAAGGGAGGGGTGATGTCATCTCCCTTTGTCGGGTGACAGTGTTTGGGCCTTCTGATTGGCTGCAAGGCACTGGCCACGGGGGAGCAGTTCACCTGCTTCCCCATACCTGGAAGTGCCAGGAGAGAAAGTGGGGAGAGAGTGAGGAGAGACAGCCAGGGGAGAGAGTGAGGAGAGACAGCCAGGGGAGAGAGTGAGGAGAGACAGCCAGGGGAGAGATTGAGGAGAGACAGCCAGGGGAGAGAGTGAGGAGAGACAGCCTTGCCGTGACAGGGGAGGGGCTGGATTCCCCCCTCCCCGCCAGCGCTGACTGGCGGAACGGACGGGGAGGGGGCGGGGGTATGTACAGCTGGCTCTGCCTCTAGATAGACAGAGCCAGCTGTCAAACACGCAGCTGGGCGGATCCAGACAGAATTGTTGGGATCCGCGTCAGCTGCGGCGTCTCAGTATACAGCTCGCTGTATATTGAGCCTAGGATGATGGGAGGACGCTAGTTTGTGTCCTCCCGTTACCCTAAGGAGAACTATGGGGAAAAGCCCTAACCCCTCTCGATCCTGTCACTGCTCTCTGCCGTGACAGGGGAGGGGCTGAATTCCCCCCGATCCTCCAGCGCTGACTGGCGGGAACGGATGGGGGAGGGGCGGGTACAGCTGGCTCTGCCTCTAGATAGGCAGAGCCAGCTGTCAGTCACGCAGCTGGGCGGATCCCGGCACAATTGTCGGGATCCGCTTCAGTTGCGTTGTCTCAGAATACCGCGAGCTGTAGCTCCCTATATACTGAGCCTAGGGTAACGGGAGGACGCTAGTTTGTGTCCTCCCGTCACCCTAAGGAGAACTATGGGGAAAAGCCCTGACCCCATAGTTCTCCTTTAAGAACTTGGTAAATTGGCCAAACTGTCACAATTTCATCCACGAGAACATGTTTGGGGGACAATAAGGGGGAGGAGAGAGAACGAACCGTCAGAGCGCAGTCCTCGTGCATACTTAGTGATGAGCAGACCTTCTGTAGCTGAGCCACAGACCGATCCTATGCAAGGCCGGCCATACACCCCTCGCAGGCTGAACGAAAAAAAATGACGCCATTCCCCCATCAACACAAACAGCGCGTCGTTGTTTGCATTCTATTGTGACAGGTGCCGCCGCCACCGGTCAGAATACCTGATCAGAGCAGGCAGCTCATTGGCTGCCGGTTCTGATCGTGCCGTGCCAGACAGCGCTTTTGATCCGCTGATGGAGGAATGCCGACTGAAAGGGAGCCGACAGCCCCACGCACTGAAATTCGGTCAGTGTATGGGCACCTTAAGACGGACGGCTGTTTACAACCAGGAACACGCGGGCCCCATTGTTACCCCCGTCTGCCTGACATCTTGTGTCTGGGTTTTAGTTGACATGAAACCAGAACGCAGCATTCAAAACTCAGACAGTCCGGGTGAATCCCTCAGACAGTCCGGGTGAATCACTCAGACAGTCCGGGTGAATCCCTCAGACAGTCCGGGTGAATCCCTCAGACAGTCCGGGTGAATCCCTCAGACAGTCCGGGTGAATCCCTCAGACATTCCGGGTGAATCCCTCAGACATGCCGGGTGAATCCCTCAGACAGTCCGGGTGAATCCCTCAGACAGGCCGGGTGACAACCCTAGGTGCGATACAATCATGAAAAACAATTGAATTCTACAAATTTCACATCTGCAGCAAATGAAAGGAGTTTCTTCATATCTTCAGAGATGAGTTCAGTCTGGTGAATGTGATACGCAATTTGTTTCCAGCAGCCGGTTGATACATTGCCAACAAACAATGAAAGCATCACCGGACCCGTCCTAGAGGCAAATCTATGTTTTTGCATTGCAAGTCAGCCAGACGTAGAAAATATACGACAAGATCTACTTTGCATATGAAACCAGAGAGGTTTGTAACCACAATCGGTGATCAGGATACAATTGCACGCTTCCCTGCCTCCATTTCCCTGCTACGAGGACAACAGTTCTGCAAACAGCAGAAACCAAAGTTGTGACGATGGAGCTCTTAGTATGGAAAGTACATACGTCTATTTATGGAGGTGTTCTTAAAGCGGACCTGTACTCTAAGACTAACATAAAGCTTTGTTAAAACTCTCCGTGAGGTGGTAAAATAAAGACATCATCTAAGAACTGAAATGGACCATACGGCCAAACGTCTGTGGACACCTGACCATCACACCTACGTGAGCTTGTTGGACATCCCATTCCATAAAATGATGTTGTTCCCCCCCTCCTCCCTCTTTATGACTATAACGTCCTACACTCTTCTGGGGGGGGGGGGGGCTTTCCACAAGATTTTGGAGGGTGTCTGTGGGGAATTTGTGCTCATTTAGCCAAAGGAGTGTCAGGTCCCGGTGTTAGATGAGAAGACCTAGCTTGCAGTTGACATTCCTGTTCATCCCAGAGGTCAAAGCTCTGTGCAAGACACTCAGGTTTCCCTACACCTTACTGGTTCTCACAATGGCCATT